ATGTTGATCTACTTGACATGGAAAAAAACACAGACCTTTTTTAAAATGGAGAGCTAGTTTAATCTGCCCAGAGACAGATATTATGGCGTTTGGCTTTAAAAAGATAAAAGGTAAAGGTTTCCCCTGTCCAGTAGTGTCTGACTCTTAGGGGGTGGTCCTCATCTCTGTTTCCTACACGAGGGAGCCAGCGTTGTCCCAAGATGCTTCCCTGGTCATGTGGCCAGCATGACTATACGCCAAGGCGCAAGGAACACTGTTAGTTTCCCACCAAAGTGGTACCTATTTTTTCAACTTGCATTTGCATGCTTGGAACTGCTAGGTCAGGGGCAGGCAACCTTGGCCCTTTTATGACTTCTGGGAGTTGAAGTCCAGAGGCCTAAAAGGGGCCAACTTTGAAGATCCCTGCTATAGAGTCTCCTGCTTGTGCAGCGGGCTGAATTAAAGACCTCCAAGGTCCCTTTCTTCTCTTCAAAGTACTCCATGTTAATTAATTAGGCAAAGAGTGCCACTGCAGTTGTGAGGTAGGGCGCCTAAAGGTTTGGAGCTAATTTAATCCTCCCCCACTTTTTTTTTTTTTTTTTGTCAGTTGCCATTTCCTGCTTCCTGATAGTGTGCAAAGAGGACAATGAAACATAAGCCCTAGAACAGAGCTGAATGCAGATGCAGACTGTTCTCCTTGCCAAACCTCGTGCGGGCTCTCCAGAAGACAATTCCGTATGCAAATGGCTCATTCAAATTCGGCAATTGTGGTGCGCTGACTGGGAAGGGAAAAACCTCTTCCCGCTGCTATTCAACTTCTTTAGAAAAGGATGATTTGTCCTCAGCCTCCCACAAAGAGGAGTGTGCTGACACGTGCCCATCAGTCCCACCCTTTGATAGGGAAGGTCCCTAGACTACAGACACCACGGCCATCTGAGCAGCCAGCCTTCTTCCTCCTCCTCCTCCTCCTGGTGCAGTTGCATGTGATCAGGCTCCAAACAGCTGACCCACAGCCTAACGAGTCTCCCGGCACCCCTAGCCCCCCCCTTTCCGCTCAGCTTTTGTGGTTGGTTTGATGAACTTGTTATCTTCTCTCTCCAGACTCCTATAATTTACTTGCTTCTTTGCTTCCCAGCCTGTTTAATTAGGGCCCTGATGTGGAGGAACAGAAGAGAAGGGATACTTAGGCAGATAAGGGCTTGTGTTTTGTCTTCCCCCTGCTAGACTTTTGGAAACTGAAGAGGTGAGTTAAAAGAGGAAGATTTACGTCTCCATTATCTCCCTGAGGGTTGAGGACCATCGTCGGGATTTACTGCTCGCTTTGGTTCAAGCAATGTTTGAGAATCAGCCACTTATGAAAGTGAAGGATTGAGAGATGCCAGATGGAAGCCGTCCTGCATCCCTGGCCTGTAGCCACTTCTTTGTTCAAAACTTGGACTTCCCTTTTAATCACCCTCAACAGTGAACACTCCAATCCTGGTACTGATTGAGGCCAAAGCTATTTATCTACTAATCACTAGCAGTGTTTTTTGCTAGAGTCTAGAGTTACCCAACCTTCCTTGTAGCTAATATCACAGGAATAAGGGCTCTTGCGGGATGCTAGAAGATGCTGTTTCTCCCTGTATTTGCTGGCACTCAGGAAGGAAATACAGAAAAAACAGTCAGAATTCATTTAAATACTCCATCCCTACTACTGTCCTCCTTTAATACCTCTAATGCAGAGGTGTCCAACCTTGTCAACTTTTGAGACCTGTGAACTTCAGCTCCCAGAATTCCGCAGCCAACTATGCCAAGGTTAGACACCCCTTCTCTAATGTATTAAAACCATCACGCTAAAAAAATCAAATTCTGGATTTTAGGCACTCTTTCAGGACTTCGGGTCTCACTCTTCGATGTCAGCGATACACGGTAGACTTTTACTCATTTTCTACTGTGACTCTTGTGTGTTTTGCAGACTTTGAATATCAAATGTACACAAGGTGGAACTGTACTTTAAGTCTAAGACTCTTTTGATGACTCAAATGCTCCATGAAGCCTCACCTGTCAGGTGGAGAGATAGGGCTCTTCTTTAGGGAGATGGAGGGGAAAACACAGCTGTGATCTCCTTGGAGCAGGGTTAGGCAACCTTGGCTCTTTTATGACTCGTGGACTTCAACTCCCAGAATTCTTGAGCCAGCCTGGCTCAGCTTGGAAACCTCTCCCTTTACCCTCAGCGTGGCTGGCTCAGGAATTCTGGGAGTTGAAGTCTACTAGTCATAAAAGAGCCAAGGTTGCCTACCCCTGATATAGGGGAAGTGGGTTCTAGTAGCCTAATAGCCACCACCCAGTGGCCTTATTAAGAGAACAATGTAATGATGGAAGAATTTGAGCAAGTGAACGATTTTCAATTTTAAGAACCAATATTGTTATGTATACTCAAGGTGGTGGGTTTCTCACAATCTTACAGTGCAGGATAAGGGAGACAGATCTCTTTGCTGATAAAAGAGGATGTGCACAGCTGTGCGATGTTTATACAACAATGGTTTGAACAATTATCAGTCTGAAAATTAATGTTTACGCCTTGCACAGTGCAGTTTAGTAGAGCTTCTGGAAGAAAATTTTGGAGAAGGCTGTTCCACCTCCACCAGAGGAGGCCATTTGAAATGTCCAGTTTACACAATAAAATATTTGGAGCAGGACCCATCACTCTGTTTCCAATTTTCTCTATGTCTCTATGTGCATAGACAAAAACTAGCAAAGCGCTTCCGGTGCCTGTTGTATTGCAGGCAATATGCATCCCCATCTCCGAAAAAATATCCTCTCCATAGGATATACAGTCACATAGTCAGCATTGATCTACCTGTTTCTCTCAAGGGCCAGATAATTTTGATCACATGACCTTGGGGATGCTGCACCGGTCGTAAGTGTGAAAATGGGTCATAAGTCACTTATTTTCAGGGCTGTTGTAACTTCATACGATCACTAAACGCACTTTTGTAAGCCAAGGACCACCTGTATTGGATAAAATGGTATAACCAGTAATAAGGGTTGGTCACAGCTGCCTCGTTGCTGGAGACGCAACTCAGGTTTAGATGTCGTATTAGTGCCATCTCTGGGGCTAATCTTAAAAGGGATTGTCAATGTGTCTCTGAACTGATTGCTGTGTGTTAAAAATGCACCTACGGTATTCCCCAGGAAGTGGAATCTATGGAGACATCAAGAACCTCCTTTATTTCTTTCAGTTGCTGACCTAGATATTGCAACGCGTAAGGCTTAAGTAGCTCACCTAGATTATTGCCAATTTGGCTCAGTGTAAGTCTTCGCAGTCAACTAATAAAATAATCTTTGCATAAAGTGTCCAATCTGCATAATGCATTCTGCTCACAGTGAACCCAATGAATTTAAAACAGGCTTTCCTAAGCTCAGGCACCTCCTTTCATTTTAAAAGCTTTGCTGTAAACCATTATCTACACCTATAAACTATACCCAGGCATTACAGCACAGGCCCCAGACCGTCTATTATCATCACAGAGTGAAAGAACCAGAAATGAGAGCAAGATAAAATGATTTTTAAAATGAATTCAGGACCAATGGAGTTTGGTCGATTAAATCAGTTCTTAAAGGGCTTTCTCTCTCTCTCTTTTTTTTTTTTTTGCCCTCTGCTTTTAAGCATATGTATGTTTGCTTAAAAACATGCCCCTTTACAAAACAAAAAAGTAAAATAATGGTCTAATTCAGGGGTAGGCAACCTTGGCTTTTATGATTCGTGGACTTCAACTCCCAGAATTCCTGAGCCAGCATGGCTCAGCTTAGAAACCTCTCACTTTCCCCTCAGCATGGCTGGCTCAGGAATTCTGGGAGTTGAAGTCCACCAGTCATAAAAGAGCCAAGGTTGCCTACCCCTGGTCTAATTAAACTGTATAGACAATTATTTATTACTGCCGATAAGCCCTTGGTTCACAAGCATTGCAACAAGCTGGTCCATCGATCATAGAAAGTTCTATGAAGTAGTATGTGAGGTAGTCCTTGACTTATAACTGTTCATTTAGTGACTGTTCGGAGTTACATCAGTGAAAAAAGTGACTTATGATCCCTTTTTCACATGAATATTGCAGCATCCCCAGGGTCACGTGATCAAAACTGACCTGCGGTTACCGCCTAGACAATAAGAACAGAAAGAAGCTTTAAAGAGACCTGAAAACAGTTTCCTAGCAGCATCATTCCCCATTATGTGCACACCAATATTTACTATTCTGTTTTGGCCTCTAGTCAAAGCAGACTAGAGCTTCCTGGTTCTGCAAAACACACACACACACACACAAACACACACAAACTTGTGGAACGCATTTAACCGGAAGCAAAAGCAAAATGAAGATATAAAATAAGGACATTTCCAAATTACAGTCCACCCTTTTCCCATTTCCAGAGATAGCAAATTGATGAGTCCTCTGGCTGCAAACTCTTACAATTAAGAACAAAAATGATCTAACTAAGATGGTTTAGACACTTTCTTATATCACCCATATGTTTCAGAACTGGGCAAGCAACACAAGCCGGCTCCGAAATAAGAATCAATTTATGCTCTTCCCAAGGGCCAAAAATCTTGTGTGGAACATTCCCGATTTCACGGTTTGAGAGCCTCCTACAAAACTATCTATGAAGCTGCAGCATAATTGCTCCTGAAAGAAAGCAAGGCAAATTCAAGGCTCACAATCTCTGCAAGGAAATAAAGTAAACAGAAGTAAACTAGACAGGCTGAATAGATTGCAATGTGCCCACTTGTTTTTATCTGTCTAACCAGTAATTTATTCTCTTACTATTATATTTGTATGCTCAAAAGATATGCAGTCTCCGAATCTTGCCTAGACTTGCATAGCATCTCTGGATTGGCTGAGACGTTGGTCCTATCTGCCTCAATTTGTATATTCTCTCAATTCTAATACTTTTTTTTCTGTATATACGAAGAGCCTCTGTGTTGCAATAATGCATATTTAACAAGTCAGGTAGAGAGGGACAAAATACAAGCATGCATCTCAACTCACTCTAAGATTTCCGATATGAATTCATGCTGAACGAGTCCAGCAGGGAACAAGGCAGAAGCACAGGCTCCGAAATTGTACAAAGCTTGGGTGATGTCCTTCAGCTCCGGGCACCAAAGACCAGTGTCTGCTAAGAAGAGAAGAAAGGGTTGAGATCAGTAGACCAAAAGGGACAAGAAGACAACTTGTGATCGGATTTCTGGGATTAGTACCAATTTTGGGGTAAATATTCCTTGCCATACCCAGAATTACGCCTCCCAAGATTCCATGATAAAAAGATAAATCAGATTCTTGGTGTACCGATGCAATACGGTCTATTACCAAGTTGCCCGCTCTCAAAGTGAAACACATACATGACACACACCTAAACATACTATATACAACATATGTATAGACCCACACCCCTACATATACATAACAAATAAATATGAATCACTGTCCATCTTGAATACATAACAGAAGGAGGAAGCTTGAGAGTTCACAAGGTTAATGCTGTATGGAACGAAACTCTGGCTGAATCTGGATGTTCTGCTTCGGATACCACGAAGCCCCCCCTCCCAGAAGGTAACAAGGAAAACAGGTCGGATGTGTAGTGCCCCAGATAAGCAACGCTTCTGTGCTATGTCCTGGATGGGAGGGAGGGAACTGCCAATGATCTTTTCCGCCGTTCTCACCACTCTCTACACTGCCTTCCTGTCTGAGGCAGTGATGCTTCCAAACCAGACTGTGATAAGGGTCATAAGTGTGAAAACCGGTCATAAGTCACTTTTTTCAGTGCTGTTGCAACTTTGAAAGATCATTAAACAAACTCTTGTAAGTCAAGGACTACCTAACAGACATATAAGTATGTTGGCAGCTGTGACTCCACAATCAGGGCAAGAACACAGTTAATATCCTAGAAGGAAATTTCTCTCAACCCTAGGAAGAGATGGTTGTGGAAACAGTTATGGAACAGACGTGGGCTTTTTGCGCTGAGCCAATGATCTGCCAAAGAATGGCGTCTCCATCGCTTCCCCAGGGCCCACTTCCCCTCCACTACGACTCTGCTTTCATAATGAAGCATGAAAGCAATTGTAATACCGGCTGGGCAAAACGGAAGAAATATAAGACAGGTAAGCCATCTCTTCATTCATCCCACAGTGCTGCAAAGCTTCCCTCTGTCATATTTCTTCCTTAAAAGGCTAATGCATAGAGTGGTTAAAAATGACACCACTTAAGTGCCAAGTGACAGGCCAGATTAGGCTCGCCTCTCGCGCATGCCTTGCCGTGGAACCGAAGAAGCTCGGGTGAGAATAACAGACGTTATTTATGCATTTATACAGAACGTGGCGCATAATGGAGTTCCCATTGCGGGTCGCTTTTTTTTTTTTTTTGTAAGCTGCAATGTGCTCAGCAGATTGACCTTGGCAGGCCCATTCTTCAGCAGCCCAGGACACAAGCTGTGGATTCTATTTCGGCACAAACTGTGTTTGCCCAGGGCAGCTTACAACTCTTTCCAGAGCCAGTCGTGAGAATCACAAACCAAGACATTTCTCATTGTGGCAAGCCCGAATGAAATTAAGGTGCTGCTCCCACACGGATGAAGGAAAGATCAAGCTAGGAGGTCTCTCGTTCAAGGCCACGACCGGTCTTGTGAAAATTGGGGCTGCTCTGCCAAACAGTTGTGGGCATTAGTTGCTGGCCCAGATCTTTGGTCCACCGATTTCACTGCTTCGGGGAACAAGCCAAGGTAGCAATTTCATAGCTTCCCACAGTGCCCAGAGGTCCGAGTCAGCGGCTCATCCAGCTGCCAGTGGGATGGCAGAAACACAGCTACCAGTATCTTCTCTTGCCACATTGGCTTCTTGCTGGGCACAGAGTGAGAGAGGTAAAGATGCCCTTTGGAGCAACTGGGGTGGGGAAAGGAGTGCCGGGGGGGTGTGCCAAGGTGCCATAGCATCCTAGCTACGGAGGGGAGGAGACTCTAGGAGAAACGGATGGAGAGGGCCTGCTTGCTCTGTAATGCCAGGAGAAACTCTGCAAAACTCTCTTCGCAAGGGGTCATCTCAAGCTGGAGCTAATCCGAAACTTAATCAGCTTAGCTTTCTGAGCCCCAGGATGTCACAGGGAGGCATGTGGAAGCAGCCGCCGCAGCTAAAAGACCTCTCAGGAGATTTCCACCCAAATTCTGGAGCCTTTCTTTCTCCGTCTCTTCCCTTTTGCTGGAGAAGCCGATAACCTGGCAGGTCTCTCCAGGGGACTTCCAACGCTCCCTGTGCATGATTATCGGAGAGAAATGTACATTCAACTCAAACCTCTGCTTGTCTTGCAAACCATTTACAGACCTGCTTTCTGTTCAGTTGAACAACTTTTCCAAAATTGCTACAGAGGAGAAGGAGAAGGAGGAGGGGAGGGGGTACAGGAGAGAGGGAGAGGAGGAGGAAGAGGGGTGTAAGAGAGGAAGAGGAGGGGAGAGAGGGAGGAGGAGGGGAAGGGGTAGGGGAGAGAGGGGGAGGAAGGAGGAGAAGGAGGAGGAGTAGGGAGGAAACTGCTCCAGTCAAGAGCAGAGCGACAGGTTCCCCCTTTTCCTCTGTCACCTCACAATTACCTGACGCCTGGCTGGGTCCCGTCCCGTGCAATTTTGAAGATACTCACCTGGGACAGGACGCGGCGTAGGAGCAGTAAAAAACCTCTGAGGATTTGGGAGGAAAATGGAGGATATGGGCATGTCTGGGAGGCTCAGACAAAAAAGCCTTTATCTGCCGCAAATGGCGAAGGAGATGGAGTGGGAAAACAGGGAACAGAGTGCAGGAGTTAAGATTGCCAAGGCACAAGGCCTTCTTAGGACAACGGAGGGATGGGGAGAAGCATCCCTTATGTATTCACATCATTTCTATCCTGGCTCACCTTCTATGAATCGCCTTGCCATAATAAAGTAAACTTGTACAATTAATTGTGAAGTGGGACACCATGATTATCAATGTTGAAACAGATTAAAAAGGAGAAATTTTTAGAAAGGGTTAGTAGAGGGCCACCACGGTGGACCATTCAGTGCTGAGGGGGTAAATAAAATGTTGCAAATAAAGTTGGCACATGCATTGCAGGAGACAAGCCAGCTTAGAAAATGATGGTTGGTGCATCGAAGGGATTCCCCGGTTGTTTGAACTAACATCCTCGCAAGAAGCAACGGAAACCATGTGAAGGCCACCTTAGCCGTCTACTGATGACATGTTATGGCATGTAAAAGACCTGGGGCTTCAACTGTGGTCCCTATTTTGACTTTTTTGACACCCTCTCTTGCGCAGACACCCCTGGTTTAGGTATCGTGCATGATTCTACACAACAGCTTTCCCCTCAAAAATATAACCTTGATTGAATCCAGGGGTTTTCACCCTTGGCAACTTTAAGGCTTGTGGACTTCAACTCCCAGAATTCCCGAGGCAGCATGGCTGCCTCGGGAATTCTGGGAATTGAAGTCCACAAGTCTTAAAGTTGCCAAGGGTGAAAACCCCTGCTTTAACTTTTCCTAGGGTTATTGCCACACTAGATTTCACCCATATCACCCAAGAACTGAGTGGACTTTGTGCCAGAATGTCAACATCGAGATTTCATCTAGCATGAAAAAATTGCATAAGCTCTGACAATTTCACAGGAATGAGGGCTTTCTTAAAGGAGAAAACAATTCATGGAAGAGGGGACACAGATGATGCCCCATCCCAAAGGGGAAATGTGGTGCCAGCCCCTGACTCATGGCTTGTTTAACAATAACGCACGACTAAGCTCCAATTAGCCAATACAGAATGTTCTAAGTCAAAACCACATTATAGTTTAGTGCAGGAATCCCAAGCTGTTCGGGGTCACTGGACGCATTTGGCATTTTGAGAGCATCTTAGGAGCGTTCCCACACAAGGGCTGCTGAAAAACTCATAGAGCAGAAGGCAGACAAAGCAGAGCACAAAGCATTTCATTTTCTAAAAATACAAAGCTCAGATTTTTTTTTTTGAAAAATAGCAGTCATGCACAAGACAAGGTTTTGCTTTGTTGATGGAAAGAAGGAGAGAGAGAGAGAGAGAAGAGGTGAAGTTGAAGGAGGGGAGGGGAGACAGGGAGAGTGAGGAAAAGAGAGAGAGGGAGGAAGAGGAGGACGTGAATTTGGCACACCAGAAAGTTTGTGCTCCGTGGATTTTCTGTTTCCTTTTCAGAAATTTCAGAATCAAATCTGGTGCCTCTTCCATATTTGCTCACCATGATGGCCAGGAGCTGAAAACCCGACACTTTTGGAAGGCACCAGATTTGGAAAGGCTGAGATTTAATTTTTGCAGGAGACTTAAATTACAGCATCCAAATCCAGCCTGATCATCGATGTTTTTCAGTCTTGGGTGGATGAAAACGAGCACGTATAACATCCCCGTTTTCATGACAACAGCTAGCGTTTATTAAGTTCCACATTCCATTATTATATATGAAGTTTTTTAATGCTTTGTTTGATCCTCTCTGCTTTGTTTGATCCTCTCTGCCTGCTTTATTTTGCCTTTCATTAGCTAATCTTTTTTTTAAAAAGTGTTTTAATAAAAGAAAATTACAGGAGAAAAAGCGCAGAAAACCCCTAAAGTATGCTACTACTGACAAATATTCCTTATGCATGTGATACACTGTCCTTCAACAGAGTAGCTTGCAAGATACCTGAATTGTTTTGATTTGTCCTGTAGTGGCCCATTTGGCTACCACTCTCCCTCTCCTCTAGAATCACTCTTAATGTGAGCCACAAATCTGAAGGCTCTCACATCTCCACTGTAAGCTAGCCCTGGGGGAGAGAGAAGCCTGGACTTCCAGGTTAGATACCATGGCAAATATTCTAAAATTGTTCCCAAATCCTGTTGCAAATTTGTCCGAGGCTTTTTAGGCTTCGTGGAAGTTAACTCGTGATCCACACGGATGCTTCTGAGCTGCACTGATTGAATAGCCAAGTCTAATACTTTCTCCAGCTGGCAAAGGCTGTTACTTTTCCAAATGTTTATTGCTTGCGCTCTTCACCCTCTACGAGAATGATGACTCTACAGAGAACAAAAGCCAGAAAAATCAAATCCGGTAAACAGGCCCGTTCACTCATGGCTCTTGCGGTGAACGACCAGGCACATTTCTGAAGTC